GCTTATTACTTCTCATCTTTACAAAAACACTAATAATCAGATTGGTTTAATACCCACCCATTTGCTTCTATCTCTCATTTCCTCATTTCTAGGCATGAAAAAACTCTCAAGAAATTGCCCTTTGCCTGAATGAGTCAACTTCCCTTCTTGCTTTTTTTTTTCATCTTAAAGATTGGAATTGCGTAAAAGAGATGTTTTCTCTATGGTTGCTCTGATACCACAATCTTCAGTCAGGTCTGATTGCTATCTCTCTGTATTTAGGATTGAGGAAGGAGTTGTGCACCCCTGCTGCACTGGGTCCCCAGTACAGTTGTGCTTACAGGCACCTTAAAGCCTGAGAGCCTCTTAAATCAGACATCATTGGCAAAAGAACAACTGACAGGCACAAATGGAGTAACAACAGGAAATCTGTTACACAAGAGACAGTTACCAAAGGTTGGAATGGAAGACCTGCAGATTTCCAGGCAGAGCACCTCCATCAGTCATTGACAGATGAAGAAGCCTTCAGGAGTTGCTGAGTATAATCAGTTCCAGAAACATTTGGGGCTCTGTCTAAATAAAATATGTCCCTAATGCTACTACTGGTAGTATCATTTAAAATTCCATAGGGATTTTGAAGAGAGATACTACCTCATTTTCCTATTCTTGAAGAGCAAAAGACACCACCAAAACTGCTGTAGTCAAATTCAGCAGACTGAAAAGAGACTTATGATTTGTTAAAGGTATCACATTTTGTCACTCGTTTTCTTCACTGCTCACCCACAAATCTTACCACCACAGCTTGTGAGTCTAGGTATTTAAAAGCTTATGTAAATACATAAGTTTTCTAACAGTCATGTAGTCATATGACTGTCAGTTTCATGCTCTCTTGATTTCACTTGCCATAGTTACAGAAAATGTACCATGTAAATTTCCTAATAGCCACTTATAACAAAGAAAGCATTCTTTTCTCTCTTCACTGTTTCCCAAATCCCTTCTCTAAGTGCAGTGAATTTGGAGCCGTGGTATTTTACATCTTGTGGGGACTTTCTGTCATAGGACTTCTGATACACTGGTTTCTGTACTCCTTAAACATCAAAACACTGAACAACTAAGTTTTGAATTCCAGATAGATAATTCCTGTACGTTGCAACAACCAGGAATATACATTGCTGTAGAATAAACACATTTGAACAGATAACCTGAGCAAATAATGTTACTTCAGTCCACATGGAAACGTGCATTTCCAGCAGCAGAGATTATCTACAATATTGTCTTATATTTAACTTATTTTCTTTTTTTTTTTTTTTCAAGCATATCCTACTAAACATAAGAGTGAATTTTAAGCTGTTCAATGGACTGTTGGCCAAGATCCCCTTGGATGCTGTCTTTAAAAACAAAGATGTTGAGGACAGCTGGCTTCTTCAAGGATGCCTTCCTGAGAGCACAAGAACTCTCTGTCCCTCTGAATAAGAAAGCGGGCAGAGGTGGTAAGAAGCCAGCAAGGCTCAGTAAGGACCTGCTGGGCATGCTAAGGGTGAAGAAAGGTGCGTCTGGAAACAAGGACATGTCACCTGGGAAGAATACAGGGATGCCGTCTGGACTTGCAGACATGGGATCAGGAAAGCCAAGTGGCAGGCAGAACTGAACTTGGCGAGGGATATGAAAAACAATAGGAAGACTTTCTACAGTTACATGGGCCACAGGAGACAGGCCAAAGCAAGTGTACCTCCTTTGGTAAATGTAAAAGGAGAACTGCCTTCAACGGACGAAGAGAAGGCTGAGGTACTGAATGAGTTCTTTGCCTCGGTCTTCACTGGCAGCCAGGATTCCAGTACTTCTCATGTCCCCGAGCCCTGCATCCCTATACCTCTAGGTGGTGACTAGGGTAGCAAGCCAGAAGCATGGCTTCACCAGAGGAAGGTCATGCTTGACCAATCTGGTGGCCTTCTATGATGGAGTGACAGTATTGGTGGACAACGGAAAGGCGATCGATGTCATTTACCTGGACTTGAGCAAGGCCTTTGACATGGTCCCCCACCGCATCCTTATCTCCAAATAGGAGGGATGTGGATTTGATGGATGGACCACTCAATGGATAAGAAACTGGTTGAAAGGCTGCAGACAGAGGGTGGTCATCAATAGCTCTGTGTCCAGGTGGAGGCCGGTAATGAGCAGCGTCCCCCAGGGTTCTGTATTGGTACTGGTGCTCTTTAACATCTTTATCAATGACATCGATGACGGAATCGAGTACACCTTCAGCAAGTTTGCTGACAATACCAAGGTGAGAGGTGTGGTTGGCATTGTGGAAGGAAGGGATGCCATTCAGAGGGACCTCGACAGGCTTGAAAGATAGGCCTGGGTGAACCTGATAAGGTTCAACATGGCAAAGTGCAGAGTTTTGCTCTTGGGCTGGAGAAATCCCAGGCATCCATACAGACTGGAAGGAGCTGTCCTTGAGAGCAGCCCTGTGGAGAAAGTCCTGGGGGTCTTGATGGATGAAAAACTTCACATGAGCCAGCAGTGTGCCTTTGCAGCTCAGAAGGCAAATGGTATCCTGTGCTCCATCAAAAGATGGGTGGCCAGCAGGGACAGAGAGGTGATTGTTCCACTCTACTCTGCTCTTGTGAGGCCCCATCTGGAATATGCATCCAAGTGTGGAGCCCCCAATACAAAAAAGACAGGCAGCTGTTGGAGAGGGTCCAGAGGAGGGCCATGAAGATGATCAGGGAACTGAAGCACCCCCCCTATGAAGACAGGTTGAGGGAGCTGGGCTTGTTCAGCCTGGAGAAAAGAAGGCTGTGGGGTGACCTGATTACAGCCTTTCAATACCTAAAGGGAGCCTATGAAGAGGAAAGGAATCAACTCTTTGAAAGGGTAGATAATGGCAGGACAAGGGGAAATGGTTTTAAGTTGAGGGAGAGAAGATTTAGGTTGGCTGTCAGGGGGAAATTCTTTACAGAGAGAGTGGTGAGGTGCTGGAACAGGCTGCCCAGAGAGGTTGTGGATGTCCTGTCCCTGGAGGTGTTCAAGGTCAAGGTGGATGGGGCCGTGGGCAGCCTGGTCTAGTATTAAATGTGGAGGTTTGTGGCCCTGCATGTGGCAGGGGGCTTGGAGATTCATGATCCTTGAGGTCTCTTCCAACCCTGGCCATTCTGTGATTCTGTGATTCTGTGGCCTTTTATCACTAATACAATTCTATTGCTCCTGGTTAATCTGTAAATGTGACCCTTCTTTTCGATGTCACAGACCCAATGGCAGTATCTACATTGTTCATACAGCGACAAAGTACTAGAATCCATGTCACATTTTTTGAAATAGTATTACGCTTTGCCACAGCAAGAGCCAGTAAGCAAACTGAATAGATAATTCTGGAAATGTCTGGGATGATTTTCAATCTGCAACCAAATTCAATTCAATCCACAACCAAAATGCAACTGATATCTGAGTATTACTGGAAATTAAAATTCTGACATTTTTTCAAAGATTCTGAAAGGAATCATTTTGTGCAGTAATTTTCCCTATCATTTCCTTTTGCAAGAAACACCTTGAGAAATTATTTTCAACAAGTGTTAAATCATAGCACTAAGTGCTATGAGTATGAAAAAATCCACAAGTTCTTAATTTCCAAAGGAACAACTCTGTTGGTGTACCTCACAGCATGACAGGCAGAACTCAGAATGAGGAGACATAGAGTCATAGAGTCACTTTCATTGGATAAGATTTTCAAGATCGAAAGTCCAGCTATCAACCTAAACACTAAAAAAGTCCTCCACTAAACCAAGTTTCTAAATGCCACACCCATACGGCTCTCAAATAGTGATGGCGTCTCCATCACTCCTCTGTACAGCCTGTTCCAACGCCTAACCACCATTCCTAAACTCTTCCTAATAACCAGTCTGAATCTACTGCAGTGCAGTTTGGAGCTTTTGTCTTGTATCCTTTCACTTGTCACCTGAGAATAGAGATCCATAGATCCATATCGTCTTCACCACAACGTCCCTAGAGGTAGTTAATGGCAGATTAACCAATGTGATACACATTAATTATAATAGCGGACGATCTGAGTCAGTTTAAACAAAATCTACACATAAATATACAAACATACAAAAGTGTTTTTGCCCTTTCAATACCAAATTTGATTAAAATTTGTACTTTTTTTTTGAAGGAAAAGAACATTCTTGGTAAACATAAGACTTGTCAAACTTTAAAATCTCCTAAATTTTATCTCATTTATGTGTTCTTCCCCCAGGCAAAGTTTACTTTCAGTCTTGCTATGCAGCTCTGACATCTATTGAGCTGGGCAAAAAGTCATTAAACTAAAAGATACATGGCTTCTAATGCTGGTCCTGCAAAAGTCTTACTGTAAAACATATTAGGCCTCCATGTCTAGCTGCAGTTCTATTCTTCTATCCTCAACATCTTCATGAGGTACATGATGGGGAAGAATGCACTGCTAAAAAATTTTAGATTTGAACAGGAGAATACACTCAGACCAAGAAATAAGGTGCTATTCCCACAGTCATATCTTCTCAAAGGAGAAATTACTTTTTTTTTTTGGACAAAAATGAGGAGAATTCTGCAAAAACTATTATAACAAGGTGATTTTGGCTTCTTACAACAGCATCCTAAGTGAATTATTTTTGAGTGACAATAATGTAATTAAAGTCCAGAAGTCATGTACTTTATCTGAAATCTTGATAGAAATATAAATTTAAGGACATTTTGCAGACTCTTTTATTTCACATAGTGTTTATCTCAAAGGGTGCTCATTACAGCAGTGCTTCCTGTTCTGGCCCCAGGTCCCTGAGGAACTCATCAGTAGTCCTTCAGGGATCAATAGGAAACTTTTGCTTGACCGTGAAACTGAGATACAAATTATAAACTGGGGTCCTTGCAGGACAGTGGAGGTCATTTCTGGGGAGGTTTGAAGTGGAAAGAAGGAAATCAATATGTAGTTTTAAAAATAATTCTGTTCTGAGAAGAAAGATAGCAGTAATACAACAGAGAATTTTATAATTGTTTACTTCTGCAGTACATCCAAAGGCACAGAAGATGTTTTTTTTCCCAATTGAACTACATAGGTTCCTCGTTTCAGTGGAAATACAGAGTACAATACCACTATTTGATAAAGCAAATTCTCAGCTACAAAACGCTACTTTTCAACACAGTCACACTAACTAGCTATGCATTTTCACCAGTGATTAACAAGAGCCTGCATGATGCGCTCATAAATATCTGAGCCAGCAGCGGTGACTCACTGTCACTATCATCACTTCTGAAACGCACCTCCCACTGCCTCGCTGTACTCAGATCCACTGTTTGGTCTCCGTAAATGTTCAGCAAGTGTTGATGAATATCAGTGGGTGCCTTTTTTTTCCACCCAGAGAAATTCAGTGACACATCTTTTCTTTCTATGCACTTTCATGTCAGACTGCCCCTCTGCTGCCATCTATCACATGGTAACAACACATATTTTGGTGAAAAGGTGCAATTTCTACTGCCATAGCATCAAAAACTATATGGCACTGTGGACCACCATAGTAAAATAGGAGTCATTACTTTTGGAACAGTCTTTATAATACTTATAATTGCTATACTGATTTATAATATATTTCAGAAACAATATATTTTTTAAGAGAAAAAGAAGCATCTAATAAACACGGAAAAGAAATTCTAAAATACATGTAATTACAAGTTCTGGTTTCAAACACTGCTCCTTCTAATGAGTTACCTTATAACTACTTTTCTTCATTGAACAGTGGACTGCTTCACAAGCTTACACTAAACTGTTAGTTTTCAGCTGGGAGAAAAGTGTGTCCTACCACAAGACTGCAGCAATTAACACCAGATTTTCACAAATGAACCACCTCGCTCTTGGTTGTGCAAGTTTTGACAAGTGTTTAATATTCCACAGCTCTCATTTTGGAAGATAAAGTCCTCTCCATTTCCAGTTCCCTGAAATTTAAAAATCAACTGCTAGATGCTAATCAGCCCCAATGCTCTTTTGAAAATCTGCCCAGACCATTGCTCAAATCACAGTAGTAGACCTATAATTTGTTACACAGACAGTCACAGGCAGAACATTTATTAAAAAACTAATTTACTTTTGAGATCTTTGCAGAGGTAGGGCTTGCAGGGGAGAGGGGGATCAAATCTCTTAAAATGTAAGGTCAGTGGAAGCCTCTGTTATAATGATCCTTGCAATGACGCCTTCATCTAGGCTGGGCAAAGATCCCTGAACCATTGTTTCACTCAATTCCTATAATCCAGCTGGTCTATAGTCTTAATGTTACCAGACTAGCACATTCACAATGCACTGAAATTGGCTGCGTTAAACTACATTAAAAACACCTCTAACACACAAAATTCCTACATGACCTTTTCTGTATCTGCAGGAACTGTTTTTATTAAGATGTAAAATTTCATCAATTTTGCATCAGGAACCACCTGGGAAGCTTTTCTAGAAAGAAAAATGCACATTCTCCATCATGGATGTTAAATATATTTAAGCACACAAAGTGGACCAGTGGACAGTATGAATAGTTTATTTTTTTTCCCGAGCTCCTCATTAAATTTAATTATTTGAAACATTTGTCAAAGCATCATTTGAATAGAGCTGTTGAGAACCTGTGTTTGAGCGATATAGTACTTTTTGTCAAAAAAATTATGCAGTCAAGAATTCAGGAAAGCATATTTAGGCACTTATAAACTTCTCAACTTATGCATCATATCAAACAGCTTCAAATCACCTCATCATGGAAATTACACTCATGCATTAATATTGTTTAGCCACAAAATTATTATAGAATTATAGAATGGCTTGGTTTGGCAGAGACGTTAAGAACCACCAATTTCCAACCCCTCTGTCACAGGCAGGGTTGCCGGCCACTAGATCAAGCACTAGACCAGGTTGCCCAATGCCCCATCCAACCTGGCTTTGGACATCTCCAGGGACAGGGCATCCATGACCTCTCTGGGCAGCCTGTTCCAGCTCCTCATCACTTCCTCAGTAAAAAACTTCCCCCTGACATTTAATCTGAATCTTCCCTCCTTTAATTTAAAATCATTCCCCCTGGTCCTACCACTATCTACCTATGTAAAAAGTTGACTTCCTTCATGCTTATAAATTCCTTTTAAATATTGGAAGCCTTCAACAAGGTCTCCCCACAGCATTCTCTTTTCCAGGCTGAACAAGCCCTCTTCTGGATCCTCTCCAACAGATCCACACCTTTACTGTTTTAGGGGCGCCAGACTTGGATGCAGTACTCTAGCTGGCACCTCAGAGTAGAGGGGGACAATTGCCTCCCTTGCCTGTCTGGCCATGGTATAGCATGATAGAGCAACTGTATGAGTTTTTGGATTGGATAATGGTTGCACTTAGTTGAAGGGGACAGGAGTAGACACTTTTTGTGAACACTGGAGAAAGTCATTCTTAAGGCTGAATTCAGTAAGCTTCGTGCCTCTGAACTGGGATGAACTTTCACAAGTAATTTATGCTAATCTAGTCTATGTCTCTAGAGAAAATAAAAATGAAAGCTTTTGCCCAGGTATGTTTTTGTCCTTTCTACTTTGGTCATCACTGCCCCCGTGTGCATCCAGGTTGTGGGCAGGACAGAGTACCAATATTCATCTAATGGATCCAATTCTGCTTGAAGTAATGGCCTATTGGGATTTTTGACATAACTACAAAAGAGGCATAAATATCATTTGTCTTTCAGATTACCAATTCTATTTTTAATATACCAGAAAATGAGAAGGGAAATAGACAAGAGAGGTTTTCCTTAACATCAGCAATCAAACTGTAGAAATACACAGATTCAGAAACAAATATTACTTTCAACTACTATGAAAGTTACATGTATATCATGGTTAACCTGGTTGTACAGTTAATTGCAATGGAGAGACTGGAAAGGTTGGTTTGAGAGAGCTGCTGTAATCACTTATATTTATTAGCAGTCAGAGGCAAGCTTCTGCATCTTCTGTGATAACTTCTCTGTTTCTCTTGCTCTGGATTTGTTTATTTTATTATTTTAAGACAAATGGAGTGACGAGTCAGGTCAACCTTCCTGGTGGAAAGAAATCATCAAGTCATTAGAAGAAAAGGGACACAGAAAGGATCAAGAAGTCTGTAAATGATTATGAAATTTAGAAAATGCTAGGAAAAGCAGGGTATGAAAAGTCTAGCATTAGAAATAACTACTTGGTCTCTCTCAGGGAGCTCAATAGGGTTTGCTACAATCCAGGGAGCCAGAAATTGGCTAAAACCCAGCGTAGAAACCTGTCCTTTTACAAGGACACTGAGACTGGAGAAAGAGTTGGCTTTGTAAATTGGCTTGTCTGCTTTTTTTCTCTTTTAAAACTTGTACCAACAGGTCTCTAGTTGTTTGTTTTTTTTTTTTAAGAAAAAAATAAACAAAACATAACATAAATATCTTTTTATCTTCCTTGGGAAGCTCACTATCCAGAAGAAAAAAAAAAAAAAAAGTCTTGACAGCTTTGCCTGCTGGTTTGAAGCCTCATCAGAGTTATCTCACACTATATTACAAGATACCTTAGCAGCTGTTAAGTGGTGACCTTCTGTCCCTGAAAAACCTGTCAGGCTATATATGGTATAAGGAGGAACAAATCTAAAAACAAAACAGAAGAAAAAGGTAAGGATAGAAGGAAATATGGACAAATGCAGCATAGAAGTGCAGCAGAAAACTGGAAGAATTATAGTAGGACTTTGGCTTCTCATGAACCCAGGTGGAAATACAGTTTTTGGCTTTTTAAAATGACCTTTTGGAGAACCAGAATCTGTTTAGCAGCCTACTGCAAAATGAAAGATATCAAAACCAGTTATCAGTTTAGTCTACAAGTTTCAAAAATATGACTTCCCTAGAGAGAATTTTTTTTTGAAAGTGAACAATTTCATCTGGGAACATCAAGATGGGAAAAAACATGGAAAAAGCCTTTACAACAAGTCTGAAGCTCAATCCAACATCTGTTGAATAGAAATTCCTTTGAAATCTTTAATCTGAACTTAAACAGTAATGGCTTTAGAAATCCAGGCCACTGAGTAAGATTATTGGAAGATTTTACCTGAGAATTATTAATAAATTACTCAAACAATTAATTACATAATAAAATAAGGCAGTATCAGAAAGAATAAAATGAAAACTGACCAAACTAACTGATGGACAGAAAACAAAACAGTGTCCCTAGTTAGTAAATATTAAAACTTAAGAAGCATGAAAAAGGAAAACAGCTGAAGGTTGAAAGGACATATTTGCAAAGTTCTATTAAAATGAATAGAAGTAAGATGGCACAAAAGGTAAGTCAAAATCCTGAAGGTGACACAAAACCCTTAGCACTATTTTGTGCTTGAACAAGGTCATTATATGTGAAATGTAAACATTCTGCAGAAGCCTGCATTCAAAGAACTGAAGCTACCTAAAGAGAAACAAAATATGAATCAAATACACATTGAACGAAGAACTAAATTTTTTTATAGGAGCTGCTCAAGATAAGGCCACATTCAGAGGCTTTGTATATCACCTTGAATATGAAAGACGCTTTATGACTTACAATTTAGACACTGATACATAATTTAATATGATCTCTTGTATTTCATTAAATCATGTTGATAAAAAGACAGTCATATTGAACATGGAGAGATAAAACTCAGATTGCACAGTGATAAAAACACTCCTATTGTGAATGAACACATGTTTATTGTAAAACAAAATCTTAAAAAAGTGGCTTGTATTCAGGTTTCAGGAGAAAGTATATATCCCTGGGTAGAAAACACGGCAAAGTCTACAGCTCACTGAAAGAAATACTTTGGAAGTAAAATGGCATCCAATGAAGATTTTAAAAGTAGCCACATGCAGAAGTAGAGAAATGCCAACAGAAAACCAAATGGTAGAAAGACAAAAAGTAGAAATGATGAAAATAAAGTGACAAAGACAAAAGCAGAAAGTGGTGCTATGTGTGTGAATGCGGTCAAAGGCATTTTAAATGAATGATAATAAGATTCCCTTATGTGGTGAATCTTCTCTTGTAAAACAGTGAATAGGTACAGGTTCAAGGTTATTTCCTTTGTGATCTAAAGGATGAAGAATTTAAAAATATAGATATCTAGCATGCAGGATAATGCATAACCTATTAGAGCTGACAGCTTGGCTGGGGTAAAAAACATACAATAGATGACAACTTGATTATTATGCATTTTAAAATGTTGTTAATAATATGATTTTTAGTGCATTTTAAGAACACAGGCTTCAGTTACATATATTCTACAAATCTGTAGAAATCTAAGAATCATTTTATTTGGAAAAGACCTTCCAGAACATCTAATCCAACTGTCAGTCTGACCTACAAAGTCGTTAAATCCTGTCCCTGCTTGCCACCAGTATTAGTATGGCAAAGCTCAGACTTTGTTTGGAGCCATGTAGTTGGCATCCTCAAGATGAGAGTACCTTCTTGGTATTGAGTAACTATTCAATAGAACGCTTAGAAGGAGACAGGCTGATTATACAGCAGCTTATAATATATTTTTAGAAATGCTATGCCCACAAAACTGTACTGTTGATAACCTGAACTAGATTTTGCAGCCACAAGAGAATTCATACAATACATATTCAGAACAACTAAAGCGAAAATAACTGGAAAGAGTACTTCTTGTCAACTTGCACCTGACTTCCACACAGAAGAGAGAAACCATTTTCAGCTGCTTCAGAGGAAAAAGATGGAAAAAGAAATAGGCATTTAGAACTGATGCTGAGTAGTCAGGGGAGGAGACACTACAGAAAACAGCTAGGAGAGAGCTTTAGCTCCTGAGGTAGTTTGTACACTGCATTACAGGGTGGCCTTACATACTGGCTGTTACACCTCGATGTGAGGCTCAGAATACCAGACCTAGCTGACTTTTCTCTTTTATGTGCCACCCTGAGATGCAGACTCCCATGTGTCCAACCTCATCCACTGAAGATCAGACAGTCTCACTGCCTCCCTCCAACTCCTGATCTTTCTGACTACTCTCCTGCCTTGTCTCAGGTGTAGAAGTTTGGCATTCCCTAGGGAGGAAGATATGCCAGAAAATATGTTGACTGAGTCTGTTTGTTTACTATCAAACCAAGAAGCCAGCTGGGAAATCTCAGGCCTGCAGAACCCTACAGTTTAGTTAATCCGATCCATTCATTAAAAAGCCATCTTCTTAGTTTTGACAACATTATATGATGTGATTTTAGAATGATTTCCATATGTGCATATGTGCCTTACTGCTTTTGGACTCAGACCATATCACTGGAATATCTATAACAAGGTCTATATCTAGAGGGAAAAATATATTGTCCCCTGCCAAGAAGGAAGAAGAGATAGAGGGGAATAAAAGAAAACTAAAAATGTCAGGAAACACAAGTCTGTTGTCTGAAATGTCAATCACTGATTTTGGTAGCTGAGATTTCTTAAAGAGCTCAGCACTAGCATAGCTCCTTTCTTCACTAAAATCTACTCTCAGGGCATTTCATGAGTAAAATCTACCCTTGCACAAGAAAAGGTGAGCAGTAATAAGTAAGCAGCATGTATATTTTGGAGAAGTTGAGAATAAGCATACCAACACACAGTTTATTAGAAATTGGTTTATCCAAAGGCAGTCACCTAAGCAACCTAATTATGCTGTGCCTGCAATCTGCTTCCACTGAATGTTCAATACTGATCATTTTATGCAATCGCTGTAAACAGAGACATAGACAATACCTGGTGTCTGGATGTGTGCCATGTCTTTCTAAGATAGATGAGGCTTACTATTATTCTATGCAGGAGAATAAAAAATTATGAGTAACTCACATTCTCATTTACCACTTTGATCCTGTATACTTTCTTCCCAATGGCTATGTAGAGAATATAATTACAACCTGTCATATTATTTTTTTTTTCAGCTACAAAAAATGCAATTTGGCTGAAGCAAAATGTTTTGCAAAAATGAATCAATTTCAATTATACATTTGCTAGGATTAATTCTTATGCAGAGAAGGCTTCAAGGGAGAGCTAGGAAAGGCGAGGCTGTGGAAAGAATCTGTCAGATCCAAAATAACAATTGTTCGAATGCAAATGGAGAAAAATAACAAAAACCCTTTTATTCCTAAAAAACAATAAAGAATCTAGTTCAGCCATCCCCTGGCTGGACTCCATGCTCTAAATCTCAGTAGTAGATTTTTCTGTGAAAACCCAGTCTCACAATCATCATAAAATAAATATAATGTAAAATTAAAGTTACTTTAAACCTTCAATATTTCATAAAATGAATTTGCTTTTCCACTTTAATAGTGCCTTACTTAGAACGTTGACCAGCTTTGTGTCACCACAGAACCACATTTTAATGGTGCTTCTCCCTGTATGCTAGTTGGAAAATTGGAAAGCCCTCAATAAACCTCTATCAAATTGATCAACAAAAGAGAAGAGTATAATGCCCAGTAACATTTCTGCTTGCAGTGACATTCCTAGCATTTTATTTATTTGAAGAAATGACTGTTCAAAGAATAATGATGAACTTTGTAGATGAGCAAAGAAGTTCCTAAAGAAAGAAAGGAAAGGTAGAATGGTAAATAAATCAGGTGAGACAGAAATCTCTTCCAGTGAGCTAGAATATATATATACTCCTTTTTTTAAGACACAAGGACCCAGTTCTGTACTTTTTCAGCTAGCAAGTAGCTACTTTAATACCCACGAGGTCAGATAAAAATCTAATTAGCATCAGTCCACTGCTTGATAGGACTGTGACTCAAGTCCTGTAGTCCAAAGTAGGAAACCCAACCCAGAAATGTCAATGTAGCTGATAACATCTATTAACACTTGCTCTGTGCACATTTACAGTAAATTCCAGTTCTTACCACAGCTATGAAGTTAAAAGAAAAGATAAATGAATCTAAATCAATGCTTTTTCTAACTCAATCCTCTCAGTATTTATTAGAAAAATACTATTTTGACTGACTTTTCTTTGTAAAGACACACAGGAAAAGCAGTACTGCATAATCCTAATAGCTAGTAGTATGTTACCTACTAGTAATGTAAAAGAATCTATAAACATTCTAATATTTAATACAAAAATTTCTGCAATAATATATTTTAAAAATAAAATAAATTTAGTGGTATGAATAAATAATTTCACTTCTCTTTGAAAGTCAGTGCCAGACAAATGTTATGGTCTAATATGAGTGCTGCAAAGGGTGGTGGAGAGACAGAAAGAACCATCCATTTGAATACTTATTAAAATGTAGGAACAATTGATTCTGTCTTTCCACCGGTGACACTTCAACAAACTTTTGCATTTGACCTTCACTGTTAGCCCATATGAGCTATGAATTCACATAGCACATTTCATTATAAGATTGATCACGTAGTAAAAACTGTGTGGTTACACACTGTAAATGACACAACATACATCTACATGTGTAATTCCTCATTGTGCCAGTTCAGTGTGCTATAGTACAGACAGTGCACATCCTGCACTGCCTGCACTCTTAGTTGAATATTGGAATACATTCATGCACATGCCATATATATAAACACACACATATATATGTACATGTTCACACAGCTCCTCAAATAATACAAAAAAAGCATTGCTTAATTTTTCTCTCTCTTGATGGAGGAGCAGAGGAAACAAAGTTTCCTTATCAAATAGGCCCACAAATAATCCTGAGAAGCACATCATATGCATACTTACGTGCCCCATTCCTCTGTGTCCTTGGGGATGCAAGTAAGCTCTCCAGCCCTGGTGCCGCAGTGGCACTCATTAGGTGGTGTCAGCACCTCAAACCTTGCCACCAGTCTTTCTGTGTAACACTTCTACTCACCCTGCTCATCACCAACCTCATTGCCTCTTTTTATCACTAAGCCCATAATACATGCCCATATATTGAAGGCAAGGCAGATGGCACATCTCATTTATTCAAGAGAATATCAAGCTGTTCCCCATGATCACTCCTTTTATATCAAATCTATGACTTTTAGCAAAATATATAAACTATATGACAAATGTATATTCACGCTGTTTCCACCATGGGTGAAGATGTTTCATCCTTCTTTTCTGCAACATGCTGATGTTTCTGAGTGATGTTTCCTATTTCTGGATGCTACTCAGTTCAGATGTGAAACAGTAATCATGAAGTAAAGCATGTGCTGCGTCCTGATTGAGTGGAAATGTTAGTAAAGCTTGCATTTGTACATGCATCTGGGGAATAAATGAAGAGAGTTATGCATGAAATACAAATAAAGCATCATAATAGCTTCATACTAAGTCAGACCTAATCAAAGGTCCATATGGTTTAGTATTCTGCCTCAAGATAGGCCAAAAATAAGGTAGTCAACCCAAGAACAAAACAAGTGCACCACAATGCATACCCATGGCATGATTACAGATTGGGTTAGTAATCTATGCTGTTTGTTTAGACCCAGTTACCTGGTGACTTAATTTTACGTCCCCATGTAGTGAATGCCCGGTCCTTGGGGATGTTCAAGGTCAATCTGGACAGGACTCTGAGCACTGTGATCTAGTCTCTGTTCACTGCAGGGGAATTGGTCTAGATGTCCTTTAAGTGTCCTTTCCCAGTGAAATGACTCTACGATTCCACATTGCTACACTAAAGAAGGTGGCAAAAAAATTTCAGTCATCTCCCATCCATTCATTAGTCCACATGTTGCCATATTCTGGCATGCCTTCCACTGTATGTTTCCCAGAATGAAGAAAAGATACTTTTTCATGCCATCTGTTGGAGTTCTATAAATAGCTGGGACTTTATACATGGCCTTTAATAGCAAATTCCTAACAAGCTTCATACTTTCCAAAATTGGGTCAAAACTCCTCAATATTTTCTTGCATGGGTGCTTGGCTTTAGCCGAGATACATCACACAAAAAAAGTACACTGCAAAAATTCACTGAATGCAAATTTCTCAGTATGCCAGAATGAAGAAAAGTCACTGGACAACAGTTCAGTAGCACAGTCACTTTGTTGAAGAAAAAAATTACCTAAGTACATGCATTTGGTAGAAAACTTAAAAAAGAAACAATGGAAATGTAATGTTAATTTCATAAATGGCATCTTAGCAATTATTAGTAGAAATTGAACTCCAAGATGCAAAAACATCTGCTTGAGTCAACAATATGCCATTAAAAAGACTAAAGAGGTCAAAATACTGCTATCAGCTATGTGTTTTTCCTAGCATTATGCAAATAGTAAAAAAAAAAAAAAAAGATTAAGAAATAGAAGATGTTTAGACTCCAATCTTTATCTGATATCAGTGGAATTTAGGTATCTAAATATTTTTTATTGCCTACAAGTGCTTATAGTAAGTATTTTAAAAGCTTTAAATGAAGATCTAGATTAGTTTTCACAGCTTTGAGGTTCTTTTATCTGCTATTTTTTTTTTTGCTCTCTCCTTTTCTAACATATAGAAAGAAAATATAATTTTATGTCATAATTTGCTTTACCTTTGAGTTATAAAAAACCTTTTGTTTCAAAGACATTTTAAGTCATGAGGAGATCTAAAATGATTGGCAAAGATATCAATCTTTTCTCTGTCACTACTGAGTGACATCAGGGCAGCAAAATAAGGAGCAAATTGCATGATAAATGAAATGAAATGTCAACCAGAGCATTTTTAGAGGACACTGTTTTATTTCTGACTAAGAATTTGAAAGGAAAACATTGCCTTTCTTGAACTTATACATCAGAATATATTACTATATATAAAGTAACCCATGCTATGAATTATCTTCTCTGTGATCAAATAGATCATCTCTTCAGAGACTTTCCTACTTGCTAGCTCCATTTCAGGTCACTAAAATCATGAGATTCAAAACCATATCTTCATGATGATGAGGTAATAGAAGAAAAACAAACAGGTTGGTGTTTGCCTCCATCCAGACACAGATGATCATAGGCATCTGGTCTATCCGTTTTCAACCTGCTCGAAGAAGGGTATAAACTGCAGTACAATAAGCTTTACTAGATGATTGCAGTTCATGAGGAATCAGGCTCATCAAGCTATAGTACTAAAGATTCTTGAAGAGTGGAGATTAAAATAATACAACATTCCAGTTAAATCATAAGTCTTCATGGATAAAGAATGTAATATTATATAGATGAGTTATTAAGAAATATAAATATCTCATGACTGAGAAATGCTCAATACTTTGATTACAAATTAGTAAAAAAAAAAAAAAAGTGTTTCGGAAAAGGAGACAGTAGCAGTTTCTGGCAGATGTAACTTTCCAGTTGTCAGTGGTTTATGGGCTGGTTCAGCCTGGTTCCCTGACTAGCAGGGCAGAGGGATCAGCAAATCCATGCCTCCAGAAAGAGGAAACAGGGGACCCAAATGATGGAAAATAGCATCGATGATCTCAAGAGAAACAAACTGATTTACTAAATATGGTATCGGAATGCAAGATAACACGCTATTATACAGTATAATTAGAATTGAAGCTAATAAACCAAGTATAATGAGAGAGAGTGTCCAAAAGGTGGAAAGTCCTCACCATAGCGCTGAGGTGAGATGTGCAGTCAGGTTAAGCAGCAGGGAGGAGAGCTGAAAAAGGGAAAGGAAAGTCAGATGGTCTATAAAAGGTTTTATCCTCTCTCTGAACACAAAGTCTTCTGGGGTATGTAGTTCTTCTCTTCCGATCAGGTGCCTGGAACTGGAGTATTAACTCTTTAACTCCCAGTGCTCTATGTGATGTTATGATGTGGAATACCAACAACCAAAAATCATAAAATCATAACACCTGAATTGAATTCTGCACAGGACAGAAAAAATAATCACTTAACCACTGTCTCTCAAAAGTATGAGAGATTTTTTTTTTAAAGCCAACAATAATAGCAATAAAATGTTTAAAAACTACATTAATATAACCTGTAGCTTTACATTAATGCTTTCTGCTGAAAGAGTAATGACTTCTAACATCATTTCTAAGCCATGCAGAGGTTCAGCACTGACCCAACTGATGTAGTTCTTTGCTACTGTAACACACAAAATATTTTGTAGGAGATTCATATCCACATTCTTCTCAGGTCTGTCTTCTGCTAAAGGTCTCATTTCTCATGAGATTACTCAGTTCATGAAGTATGACAAAGAATGGTATGGATTTCTCTCCGAGCTTCTCTTCAAACTGTGGGCTGTCAATCTCTGAAAGGAAGAGCAAGAAAGGGGGGGAGGAAGAAGGAAAGGGAGGAAAAGGCATGTACGTTCGCACACATGAAGGAGATAGAAGGCATTACGGATGATGGATACATAAGACAATGCATTCTGAAATCAAATTCCCAAATTCACCCTCCCCCTTTTCATCTGTCTTTTATTTATGTACAGTTTGTCATATTCTGTTTTCCCATCTGGTGGCAGTTATGTGTGTCTGATGAATCCTCCAAAAATTTCAACTTTATATTCTTCTTTGGTTTCTTAGTGCATTTATGGATAACTTCTTGAAAGCTTTTCTCAAAAGCAGTCACTTGGGTAACATGCTTCTATTTTGCAGGTATTACTGCTACCCTGTGTGTTGCCTGCCTTGCTCTGAAGCCCATTTTTATAGCTTTGTGATTGCAACAATAGGTATACATTATATGAAATAATATTCACAAATGACCACATTGTTCAGTATACTGCATCCCTTTACATTTACTAGTGGCAATAAATCCAATCACATTACTTCAGCTACAGCAGATTTATATCTGCTTCCTTTCAGTCAACACATTAACTTTAAAATTTTGTTGTGAGTTTTTCATTACCTGTCTGAAACATCCCTTTCATACCTATCAAAACTGATCTCCATTTATACATACCCTCAGTCCCTACTTTCTAATAATAAATCTCAAATTCATCAGCCCGCTTGTCAAATCTCTCATCTGTGGGTAGCAGAGCATTCGCCTGTTACGCCCCTGAGCTGTGGGATTCACTGAACTGGTCTCATCTCCATGTCCCCCGAGCTCTTCTAATCCCTCTTTGATTCCCACTTATTAAAAATTACTTTTAATATTTGATCCACTACTGACACATGCTGTAGGCTCTCAAGACTACCGCTACTGACAAGAAAATATTTCTGTGTTCTTTACAGAAGATGCAGTGACACTTTCTAGACTAAAAACGCAATTATTTTTTTGCATTCCACATGGATTACAAGTCTTGCCTTTCTCTGCCTCTCATTTCTGAAGCTAAAATCATTTCATCTACATAGGCTGTGGTCTCCAGACCCCAAATCTAAAACAAACAAACAAACAAAGTGAGGTTGCTTTTAGTAACATACCAGGAATGAAATACTGAGTAGGCACATTACCAAAGCTCTCCTAATTTGTAGTAAGGATGCTTTACAAAATATCTTCTAATGAAATCTAAGTATTTTTCTGGCCTAATCAAGTACTACACTCAAGGAAACTGAAGCTAGGGGACATGTCAAAAACCACAACAGGCCTTTGGTGGAAGATCTCTGATGCTCCAATGTCCAAACTTCTGCTTTTTCAGCAGCACACAACTGTGTCTTTCCTGCCTATGCTCACTTTGTCTCAGTCTGCATTTTATCATGTGTAAAAGACTTTTTATTTCAGGAGCATTATGTGAGAACAGTAAAGTGAAGTACACACAGCTCTGAAGCATATTAGGACCGTAATTCCTGAAGGCAGATACACAGAATCCCAGTGACCTAAGCTTCATCTCACCCCTTCAGGGTATAATAAGTGGTAGTTTCAAAACCAAGGACAAGCAAGAAAATAAGCACATCTATAATTTGGGTATTTGTCATTTGTTTTCTTTCAATCCTTCCAGTATGTCTAATCCCACATTTAAATTTGTATACATAATCATACACACACTAATGCTGTAGATCTGATGCTGTATCACTAAAAGCCCATTTTAGAATTGCTTGGGGTAGTCAGTAGGGCATTGTCTGACTGTTTTGGTAAACCCAGTGGGGATCAAGGACAAAAGAAAATTTGTGATAAGTGAACATAAGAAGGGGATTTATTTTCTGATCACGAGAAATGGCTGCACTTCTGATTATACCTATCCCCTGACCAGGTTTCATAGAAATCTTAGTAAAATGCAAGGATGTCTTCCTGCTTTGCACACTCTACTGAATATCATGCACCAAGGCATTTTTTGAGCTGTGGCTAAACTGAATGCAAGCTAGAGATTCTCTCCCTGGCCCAAAGCAGGGCCATGACTGGTGGGAAGCATTGTCCTGTAATGCTTGTTGCAGTCTTAACAGAGCACTGAACAGCTCCAGGCCAAAAACAAAACAAAACAACTCAGACAGAACAAAGCACCAAATGGTAATGATTTCACGTGTATATTTACATCTCCCATACACAGTTAAACAGTTTATCACAGCAGGCTACATATATTTACAGATTTGAGTTCCAAATCAGCCTTTCTGAGTTTTGGCTCAAGATTAATGTCAGGTTGCCAACTCGACTTATTGCCATATATATTTTAATTCATAAATTACTGGTACATTGAATTTTTTTTTAGTACTCTGGAACTTCTTCATTGTTCTGTGGTTTATTTAAAATCAACATTAATGGTTCAGAGAATTTCATAGTGAGCTCTTTTATTACTCTAGGGTGAAAGTTATCTGGCTCTGTCAATTAAAAAAAATGGTTAGCTCTGACAGTTGCTGGTTAACACCTTCCCAACTTATTGATTGAATAGGAAGTAGTTCTTATCACTATCAGATATGAGTATATCAAGATTGATATACGTGAAAGATACGATTTGCTTTGTTCCAAATCGGAGTAGAAAAATTCATAGCCAATTCTTCTGCCTTTTGATGGTTGATACTTTTACCATCCTTATCTAGTATCAGCTGCACACCGTTGTTAGAATTCCATCTTTCTGCAATACTGAAATTATTTCTTCCTCTTCATCCCACGCTGTTATCTTTAACTTTTCATATGTATCTGCAATTCCTAATTAACAATGTACACTCCTCCACCAGTTTTCTGGCTTTCCAAATGTATTACACTAGCTTTAATGAGGATTGATTTTCCCTCCCTAACACCATTTTGGAGTAAGAAGCTTTTGAAGCTTTCTTATACCACTTTGGAAATGTATGTGTCTTGCTCTGAAGGTAATGCCTCCTATTTGTTTCCATAGAAACTACAACAGAAACAAAGAGCACAATAACTCTGTTTGATGGAAAAAATTCTCAGCTAGAAAACACTATTTTCCAATGTTAGCTATGCATTTTCATCTGGAATGAACAGGAGTCTGCATGCTGCTCTTGCAGAAATCTGCACCAGCGGAGGTGATCCACTGCTACAACACATCACCCACCGCCTCACTGTGATCAAATCCACTGTTTGGTCTCCATCAACATTCAGCAAGCATTGATAAATGTCAGTGGGTGCTGGTCACATCAGTTGCTCTTCTGGAGCAAGTCTATTATAAATACTTTCAGAAATAAAAAAAAGTATTCTGTATTTTTAGTTAGGAAAATTATGTTATTAGAAAATAACTAACTTTGAAACAAACTTTACTTTTTCTTTAATAAAGAGTGAAGTGTGCTAATTTTACCTCCCCTCCCCTTTCAGCCCTTCTTATCCCCCACCCTCCCCCCTCCTCTCCATCTTCTTCTCCCTTTCCTCTTTCCATCTTTTCCCAAATCTAACAGAGTTCTTTTGTATCTTGGCAGAGAATATGGTTAAAGACTTCCTCCGTGTCTGCTCTGAAAGCACTTTAAGGAAGAAGGGCGACAGCCAGTAGTAAGTAGCTTGGCTCTTCCTGCCTCAGCTTCAGCAGCACTCCCACCTGGCACCTGCTTATGAAACAGATGGGAATTGCAGGCTTTTAATTTCCTGAAGCTGTTTGGTCTCACTTCACCTTACCCATCTTAGGGAGAACACTGATAGGCAAAACTGTCCAGAGAAAGGTGTCAGTTTTACAAAGCTAGGCAGGATTTTAATCAACATGAGATGTCACGTGCTTATCTTTCCTCTGCCTCTTCTTCATAGAGTCCACTCCTCTCCCCTTCCTTTCTATTTGTTGCTCATTAAACTTACTCTTTTTTTTTTTTCCTAAATCTTCCTGAAATGCCTTGAATTCAGAAACCATCTTGCTGTTCATTACTTCAGCAAATAATTTTCTTGTTTTTCTGTTGTGTTTATTTAAAATGTACACTAGGGAGCTGCCTCTATCTTGTCTCTTTATTTCATCTACTAAAATAAGCCAATATTTTGTTTTCTTTTCACTTGGGTCAATTAGAAGTTGTAATACAGAAGGAAAGAGGCAACAGATCTATTTTCTTCCTTTTTTCTTGGTGAAGGACAGTAAAGCATTGCTCAGATTCACACCACTCTTCACAATAGCCTGTTGAATAAATTCCTTTATGCACTGAGCAGAGATACCTGCTTTAAATAGATGGTACAGTGTGCTATAAGATGATTAGTAACTTATCATAGTGGACCTCTAGTTACCCACAACACCAGACCTCAGGGTTTTGTATGATAAATGCCCACCATGAGTTACAGAGCTACAGGGAGTTAAATACTTAAGCTGGGGACAGTAAGCAAGGGACGACAACAATATTTTGGGCCTTGAACTCAGAGTTTAGAAAGAGGAAGAGTGGAAAGTGCCTGTTTAGTTCAAGTTTCTGGCTGGAGAAGCTCCTCCAAGCATGACAGGCAGCACAGGAGTACATACACAAGTGGCTGTTTAAAAATTTAACAAGTAGGCAGTGGAGGCTGCTATAATAGGTTGATCAAAGGCAAGAGTCAGCATCTTGACAGTGAATGACTAGTAATAGCTACAGCAAGGTTGGACTCTAAAGAACTTGGAAGGCAAAAGCAGTTATTTCTGATGCATTATAGAAAAAGGAAAGCTGTGAGAGAGGGATACCAAAAGAGAGTGATCTTTTTAGCAGTATTCTTCATGGCTACAAGTGGAGCAGAACGCTATTTGTCAAGGCCAGGGTGAAGGATGTTGCTATAGCTGAGATAAAAGAAGAGGCTGAATGAGCTGGATAGAAAATCTTCTGTATGGAAGTGTTTTCAGAAGTGCTGAAGAGGAAGAAATGGTGGGGCTGAGACACTGTCCAGAAGCCTCGCTAGTCAAAATGAGCAGACCATAGGTCAGACTGACAGGTGCAAGTGGGCAGAGGGCAATGAGATCTTCAGATGTACTGAGCCTTCCTGATGGCTACCTACATGAATGCAGTAAAGGCAGTAAAAAAGGCTAGTCAAAGGAAAATATATTACTAAGTAGATGAGAGAAAAGGGAACTAAGTTAATGTTTGCAGAATGCATTATTGAGATAAATGGAGACAGAGAGATGAGAGACATGAGATCTGGTAACCAACTGCGGAAAACAGGAAAAGGTTAGTTGGTTAGATCTGTTTGTCGGCTAGTTTGACCCTGATTATTGAAAGCCTCATCAGTTCAATTACTTAGTTCCCTTGGCATTCACTCTTATACTGTACTGCAGTGGAACAGTCATCTCACGGCAGGGAGCACCAGGATATTTTTCTGTCAGGCTCAAGTGGGGCTGCCAGAGCAGGCAAGAAACAACACACTGGAAGAACTAAGTACATCACCTGCATTCATTTGGCCAAGCAATCACCATAGCTTAGAAAAAATGATCTGCAAATTGTAGACAATCTGGAAGTCTTCTCTGAAATGTAACATATTGACTTTTGTTTTTAATGCACCATTTTTCTTCTCATATTTTGCTTAGTCATTCTAAAATGTTCCCCATCTGTTTAGTTATAAACCACATGGCACAGTGGGAGTACTGTCTGGTTAGAGACTAATTCTAAAAGCAATTTAAATCAATGTGAATGTAATTTCCCACGTATAAGTTTCTGACATTCCCTTGTCAGTTTTACCCTTTATTGCAAGGAAGCATTCGGTTGCAGTTCCCTGTTTTTCCACAAATTACTGTTATAAAATAATATCCTTATCCTCTGAATAGATATTAGAAGTACATACGACTCTTTCAGAAAACTAATCCACTTAGATCTCTAAGATTCATCCCGTGAACATGGTAAGCTTAACTTAGCTTACGCTTTTGGCTCCAGTCATTCTTACTTGCAGTTACTGCAAAAATTATAGTGTCAAGAGGGAAGATGAGAAAAATGATTCCCTATTTTTTTTGTACTTTGAAAGAAAAGTCAGAGGACAATCTATTAAGAACCAAAGAAAGAAAGCCAGTGAAAGAAGAAATCCCAGGACATGTATGGATGAAAGCATGAAAGGCAATTAGTAGTTCAAGCTTTGGCTAGGAAACAAAATCAAAAGCTTGAGAATCCTTGTGAAAAACAGGCTGCAAGGGATTGAAACTAAACTTTAGAAGAGCTAGAATGCAAACACAGTTAATATACCCCAGACAGAGTCAATTGAGACACCTGCATTAATTTAGAATAGGAAGAAATGAATTAAAGGAGAGTGAGGATGAAATGCCAATGAATGAATCAGGAAAAACAAAACAAAACAAAAAAAGCCAAGAAAATAACAACAACAAAAAAAGCGAGCCACTGAAACAACCAAAAACACTGAAGCAGAAAAAAACAGGACCAGAAGGACAGTAAGGTCACTTCTGTCAGTCTTTACATACAATAAATTTTCAAGAACCTTTGAAGAGCTTTCTCTTTAGAAGGAAAGTTTTGAGATTGCAGCTGCAAATCACTACCCTAAATGGGAAAGTTATGTGAGAAAACAGTTTGACGCTGGAAGAGGAGTGCTTCCTGTGAATGCTGTAGAGCTAGACAGTACTGAGTTATTTAAATTACGTCTCTCCAGTTTTTTTCCAAAATTAACAAATTTAACAGAAAAATACCAAATCTATACAGAAAGAGAGGGCAAGCTGTAGAACAGTATCTAAAAATATTTCACTTTTCTTTTGTATAGAAATACAAAGTATTCCTGGGGTACTTCTACAATTTCCCAAATAAAGTTGCTGCTTCATTTGCTTAATATCCAGTCATTTTTACTGCACATAATTCACAGTTAAAATTAAAGACAAAAACACTATATATATTTGTCCCACCTCAAATGTACGTAATATACTTAGAAAGAACATCCCCAGGTCCTCATCTCTGTAGCCTTAGCTTTAGCTTTCATTGCTCCTTCTTTCCCTCAGAAAGTAGTCTGACCTCCAGATCCTGTTGGTAACTAGAAAGTAGGACTAGGAATTATTTTCATATATGCGGTTCCTTCTTATCAGTGGGAAAAGGATGGGCTAAATTTATCCTCTCTTGTATCTTCACTGAAGGTCAATGAAGTGCCACACAATGGAACAGAGCAGTGCATACTGATCCACTTGAAGCCAACCAACAGAACGGTTTTCTGTTCTAACCCAGAAGTTTAGAAAAGACAGGAAAAGCATTTCCTGGAATGCTGCAAGCAACTAACAGTGTTTCAGTATCAGGCACTGTAAGTGAAAAAGAAAAGGAATGTACAGAAGTTAAATGAGGCATTTATCTCAAGAGGCTCCACATTTGTTTCTCTCACTTTGCCTATCATAAAATGTCAGATCACACCTTTCATAACCACTTCCAAGAACTATTACGGAACACAGTTGCACAGAATGTGGACTGGTGCTTTGGGTTGCTAGTTTTTAACAAAATAGTTTCTAACAGAAAACATTAAAGAATTTCATAGAGAGATTGAATTCCTAGTCAGAAGAGAGCATAAGCCAGGTGCTGAGTTTTGTGACCAGAGCTCGCTACAGGATGGCAGATATAGGATCTGAGCCCAGTTCAGAGCAGAAATCTGAATGTGTTCATTTCATCTACAACCTCTAACTAGCAGGAAATCTATATACAGCAGGGCAAAACAGAAGAGGAGGAAAGAGTGATTCTGTCTTTTGCAGCTTGTCTCTACTCTGCACACCACGCCAGCACCTCAAAAAGCAAAACACCTGAAAGTCAAACCTCCTCATTCAAGTATACAGGCTCACAAGCATATTAAACAACAGTAAGCTCTGTCTTTTGATCACAGGTCACCACAAAGTGCCCATAAGCGTCCCCTTTTGTAGTGGATCCTGATATTCCAGTCTTTAAACTTTTCAAAGCTTTCTCAAAAATTGCCAGCCAGAAGCAAAACCAGAGGAAAGAGCAGAGTGTTCTTTTAACCAGGAACATCCTGCTGTCCTTTGTTATATGCATACTTAAAAACAGTGCTGATTCTTTTGCTCATCTGCAGGTATTACCCAGCATACAGAAATATGTTCCACGTGTTTCATTAATGTAAATTATATAGCAGCAAATTTTCCCACTAGGTACAGGCATTTGATCTTACTTGCAGGAATGCGCACATAAAGACAGCTTCATCAGTTCAAGTGCACTGCTAGGAAGACCTGAGCTCATGTCTTCAGACATCATTGAAAAGAGCAGACAAATAATAGCATGATTGCAGAGGTTATCCAATTTGAACGCAATGGGTATGTCACCCGGCATCACTTACACAAAGCACAGGAAGCATTTAATTCCCATAAACCTGTTTTCAAAATGTGCCTGTGGCACAAGATTAAAAGAAAAAAAATCAGAGTAAGAACTCAATAAGGCATGAGAAATGGTACTAAGAAGTTAAACAGAAAAGGAGATTTTGTGTGATTCAGACAACATTATATTATTTTTTTAACCAAGATCCTATTCGTGATTTGCCACAGAGGTGTAAGGAGTACAGCTTTCACAGAAATTGTTTCCAATTTCCACTGTCTTCTCTTCCAAAGGAGATGCCAATGTTTTATGTCAAGAAAGCAACCAAGCTTTTTGTTTCACTGAAAGAAAGTGATAGATAAAATGGAGCACAGTGAGAATCAGAGAAACATCTATTTCCAGTTCCAGCACTGAGAGTGCCAGTGCTATCCTACTGTCTTCTTTCCATACTCTCAAAGAAAGCCTCTTGATCACAGCCATTTCAAGCAGGGAGCTGAAAATAAGCAAAGAAATCCAGGATATTTAAGAAGAAAAGAGTAGGTTATAGTAAAGCCACAGAAATTTTTGAGCCAGTCTTTTGCTATAAAGCAGTAATGATATTTCCTCATCTCTAAGTGGTAGTGCAACTCTGTAACAAGTGGTACAATACACAACAAGCAGCCAGTGTGTGCCGGATCAAGGAATACCTACAGAGCTGACATTCAGACACAGAAGATGAGGCAGTGCAAATTTGGATGACACACACCAGGCTCCAAGAATTTAAGTTGATGCTTGTTCATCAAACAATTTGAATAATGCTTCTTTGTGCTCGTAGACTGCTTCTCAAAAAGGAGTTGCCATATCCTTTTTTTTCCTTTTCACACTATGAGAAGTGGAAGAGCAATTTCATATCTAAATTCAACTATTTTCTTGGTTTAGTTACAGCAGACAAATAGATAGCACCCTAAATTATCCAAACCCTTATCATTACCTTGTAAGGAAAAACTTTCTCAAGCTGTCCCAGCTCATCCATCATCTTTATTTTTCTGAAGAAATATTGGGATTTTGGGGGGCTCTTTTTTACCTCTTGTTTTTTTTTCCCTTAGAATGAACAACAAACATGCCAGCAGACAAGCATTTCCGCAACTATCAACACGGAATGAAAATATCACATTTCTGTAGAGGGATACTGAAAAATAATCTGTTTATCTGTATACAAAGCAATATAATTAACAAAAGACATTGTACCTGACAAGATGGTTAACCTGTTTTGGTTTCACATGCCTCCTGGAACTTACGTCTTTAAAAGATATCTTTGAATCACCATCAAATGCTGAAGTACCTGTCCTTTCTCATTTCTAGGGAAGAACTTCTAGATAAAAGAAGAAGAAGAAAAAAAAAAAGATAAAAATCTTGATTAAAAAAATGAATTCTGGAAACTTTGGGTCCTTATGGCTATTTTAATAATGTATCTGGAGAGACAATGATCTCCTTGCATGTGTGTTAATTACTGGAAAGAACATTAAGCCAGTATAAAATAAATTTGTATGGTAGGACTCCACATCCTTTGCATGTTTTCAAGCCTACTGAAAAAGAAGGGAAAATGTCTTATAAACAACTGAGTAGTGCAAGGCTGCAACTTTGAAGGTGCAGATAGAAAATATTGCTTGTATCCATTAGAATTAGTACTGTCTTTAAGCTTCAAAATTATCATTACCTATATTACTTCCAACTATAAAATGGAAAGCTGTAGGGTTTTTATGGGAAACTAGAAGTGTTGCAGAAATTTAAATGTCCTTAAGCTCATGTAGGGGTTTCAGAAAGTCCTTGATTTGAAGTGGTTCTTTCGTACTAGCTAATTAAACTACCTGTTCTCAGGGTTTAGCTAATTACTAGCCATGTACTAATTTTTTTTGTGCAGCTCAGATAACTTTGGGGGTTGTTGAATTTAGGCCAACTTGCCTCTCTTGAGAAGTCTGAAAGAAGAACTGAAATTAGAACTAAACTTTACTAGGTATGAGCATCGAAGTGAAACTTTGAATTTACATACGTATCAACTGAAAACAATTAGTACCTCTACTAGAAATGCATAGGACACTAAAGGATGAAAAACTAAAAATAGATATAAAAAATAAATGAAAAACAAAGTAACAACTGTAGGACAAACAGGAAGAAAATCACTGTAAGTCCAGTAAGGAACACATTAAATTATGTGAAATTCCTCTACACCCATGGATCATAACCCACCATCACCAGCTTGGTTTCCCATGCAGAGATGCAGGAAGCTCCTGCAGTTCTTCCAGCTCCCTTGCTACAGCAGCCCAGCACATGGCTCCTCTCTCACATCTGAGCCATGGACAGGACAGGAGGCAGCACACAGCATTCTCAGTACCACTGGTGCTTTTTGCTTGGGCAGCCAAGCAGAGCAGGTAGTCTCTGAGCCACAGTGCAGCATTTTTGTCTTAAGGGATGTGAAATGCAAGTCATCAAGGTGACTTTTAACCACGTGTATAGGAACATGGTTCTCCTGAACCTGTTGCCTGAATGCAAATATCTATCAGAAATAGAGAGGCGAAGAGACTGACACAGAAAAACAGTACATTTGGTTGTAATGAGGAAAAACAGCTTTAGAGAGGGAAATAATCAAGTTTCTCACATTTTTCAGTCTTATAATACATTTTTGTCTACTTTCAGCTCTCAGTTCATTATTTCAGTTCCAGTACCATGTTATTCAAGTACTACACAGTAAATTCATGCTGGGTAGTTTCTCTGTACTCTGCTATTCATATTTCCTAAGGAGACAGTGCAGTTCTTGCAAGAACAGGCATTTAATTCACAGCCCTGCCATGGGCTCCCTGCCTGACCACAGACAAGCCACTTAACCTTTCAGTGCTGTGGTTTTCTCAACTCTAAAAAGGGAAGAATAATGATGCATTTCTTGCTTTTTATTCATTTTGTCTGCTTAGACTGTATGCTCTTTAGGGTGGAGGTTATCTGCATGAAGTTCTAGTACTGCAGTATTTATCAATATAAAGATATCAATCGCCTACATAAAACAGTTCAGAATTTATTCTTTTTATGTGAATTGAAGTTCATCACTATCAGAGGGAGCACAAAAGGTTAAAATGCTTTTAAAAAGCAAGCAAATTGCTTCACATTGCCTGTATTTATAGATACTGTGCTGTCAGCCTCTGAAGTTACAGCAGCCTTGCACGTCTATCCTTGGTTTCTGACAACTGGGAATCCTGCAGCTGGAAAAGGGATTACGGTCTGCCTTGCCACTGAGCTCCTCAGCTTTCTTGTTCAGCACATAGTTACTGCAGTTTTAATAGATTATGTAGATTTACCACTATTTTGTTCCTACTTATTACAGTGGTGATAACATGCATAGTGGCCAAGACACACAATATTCCCTTTTTCAGCCCAAAATGCATAATAATATCATAATTTATACTGTTAGATTGCTAACTTGTTAATCTAGCCAGCTACTTCTGTACGACAAAGACAAAGCATGATTGCAGAGATTCCTAATTCTGTTTTAAGAAAAATCTAGAACCAAGCTATATCTTATATTGACACTACATCTTCAGTGAGATAATTTATGATACTTTTTTGAGGGTGAATGAAATGGACAGATATTGAGACATGGCATGGAAGACAGAAGAATTCCCTGATAACCTTGTGACAAAAGAAGTGCATTGGTTTCTATACCATCAATGATATAGTTTGCCTTACAAGCTTTATTTGCTTAAGATGTCATAGATAGTGTGGTTTTGCTCATCACTGGAAAGCTCCTTCCCTCCATTTAATGGAATTCAGCAAGGCTGATTCACCCTTCCTAGTAAATTATCACAAAG